CTGCAGAACTGCGAGATGAAGTGCAGCGGGTGGCTTGGTGGGTCCTGGGCTCTTTCATTGGCTTCGTCTCGGGGGTGTTAGGTGAATGAGAACCCTAAAAAAAAACCTTAAACCCTAAACCTTAAACCGTAAACCCTAAACCTTAAACCTTAAGCCCTAAAGCCTAAACCCTAAACCCTAAGCCCTAAACCCCAAACCGTGCCAGCCTGGGTCATCCTCAGCCTGACTTGGGTCCAAATTCATCCACAACTCTGGCCGAAAATTGGGGCTTGCCGTGGGATTGGGTTTAGGGTTTAGGGGTTTAGGGGTTTAGGGTTTAGGGATTAGGGTTTAGGGGGGATACTACAGGGCTATACTGTGACACCCGAAGCCTCGAGGTAAGCCCTGACCCCATGCACAACTAAGCCCTGAGCCCAAGCAGCAGTCTGAGTGTCGAGACTGCGCTGCTTTCCGTACCTGGGGGAAGCAAAGGGACTACACTACCTTGGGCGTGTCAGTTCAGGGTGCAAAGGCTAGCAGCGAAAGGGCTATCTGCGCGACTAATTTTCAATCCTAAACCCGAAGACTCCAGCCCCCAAAGCCATAAAGCCCCAAACCCTAGCGGTTTGATTTGGGGGTCTACACCCTCAAGCCCTAAACCCCAACACCTTCAACACTAAAGTCTTCAAAGCCTTATACGCCAAGGCTATAATCAAAGCCCCAATGCCTTAAGCACTGTACCTTCTGAGAACGGAAGGCCGGGGGACGTATCCTGTCCTTCAGCGATGACAAGAGATATCTTCGACGCCTTGGCCGCAACAGGGAGCTCTGGGCTTGATCCCTACTGTGACCCAAGTTAGGCCTCCTTTAAACTCCAGATTGGGGTGTATAAAGAATCCATTAAACAGTACGTTATGGTAGTTAACCCTAAACCTTAAACCCTATAAACCCTAAACCCTGAACCCTCTAAACCCTCTAAACCCTCTAAACCCTCTAAACCCTCTAAGCCCTTAAGCAGGAGGGTTTAGAGGGTTTAGAGGGTTTAGCGGGTTTAGTGGGTTTGGGGGGCCGGGCGGGGAGCACAAACCCATTAAACACCCTAAACCCTCTAAGCCAGCAGGGTTTAGAGGGTTTAGCGGGTTTAGTGGGTTTGGGGGGCCGGGCGGGGAGCCCAAACCCATTAAACACCCTAAACCCTCCAAGCCAGGAGGGTTTAGAGGGTTTAGAGGGTTTAGCGGGTTTAGCGGGTTTAGTGGGTTTGGGGGGCTGGGGGGGAGCCCAAACCCACTAAACCCGCTAAACCCTCTAAACCCTGAAATCCCTCTAAGCCAGGTGGGTTTAGAGGGTGGGTGGTTCCGCGACGCCCGGTGTTACAGGGCGAGTGGTTCCGCGACGCCCGGTGTTACAGGGTGAGTGGTTCTGCGACGCCCGGTGTTACAGGGCGAGTGGTTCCGCGACGCCCGGTGTTACAGGGTGGGATGGTTCCGCGACGCCCGGTGTTACGGGGTGGACGGCTCCGCGACGCCCGGTGTTACAGGGTGGGTGACCGGTGGGTGGTTCCGCGACGCCCGGTGTGAAAGGGTGGTGTGGTGCACGACGCCCGGTATGGGTGTCATGGGATCCAGAAGGACAACGATAAATAGTGCAATGCATGTATCAAAAGGTTCCTCATACAGTACATTGCACATTTTCAGTACAGAAACACTAGGTTTCACCAGCGCCTTTGAACCCGCTGGCATCACTTTGATTTAGCGGTTTTAGTTTAGGGACGTTGGCCAAGATGTTTGGAGCTGAGGATTCCATCAGGCACAAAGCTTTCGCCGCAAGGAGACTCACGAGGCTTTTATGTTTCATCCAATGTTTCACGCGCTCTTCGAGGCGACATGACGCCAGATTTCATTCCAGTTTCTCTCTCAACTTTCTCTCGCGCATATTTCGCATACTTGCATGTATTGGCGAGCACAGCTGCCCGGACATGGCGAGATGTTGAAGCAATTGCGTCCATGACAACGACGACGACGACCACGACTAGAGCAGGGCTGTTGGGTTTTGTGGAGTTTGTTTAAGCAACCCCAGCCCCACTAGCTTGTTCCGGACTGGACGATTCAATGCCAGCCTGTGAAGTTGCAGGTGGGAATATGGTAGTGGAGCAGGGCTGTTGGGTCTTGTGGAGTCTGTTTAAACCACCCCAGCCCCACTAGCTTGTTCCGGACTGGGCGATTCACTGCCAGCCTGTGAACTTGCACGTGGGAATATGGTAGCGGAGCAGGACTGTTGAGTGCCTGTGGAGTCTGTTTAAGCCACCCCAGCCCCACTAGCTTGTTCCGGACTGGGCGATTCACTGCCAGCCCGTGAAGTTGCAGGTGGGAATATTGTAGCGGAGCAGGGCTGTTGGGTGCCTGCGGAGTCTGTTTAAACCACCCCAGCCCCACTAGCTTGTTCCGGACTGGGCGATTCACTGCCAGCCTGTGAACTTGCAGGTGGCAATATGGTAGCGGAGCAGGACTGTTGAGTGCCTGTGGAGTCTGTTTAAGCCATCCCAGCCCCACTAGCTTGTTCCGGACTGGGCGATTCACTGCCAGCCCGTGAAGTTGCAGGTGGGAATATTGTAGCGGAGCAGGGCTGTTGGGTGCCTGCGGAGTCGGTTTAAGCCACCCTCGCCCTGCTAGTTTGTTCCGGACTGGGCGATTCATTGCCAGCCTGTAAAGCTACAGAGCAGGGCAGTTGGGTGCCTGAGGAGTCTGTTTAAGCTAGTGACATGCCAATTCTGGTCTGCCCAATACATCTCAGCACTACTGCGTTGCTTGCAGGCCTGTGCCTTTGCGACAGTGTACATGCCCAGGTTGCATCTCAGCGCTATTGCGTCTGTGCCTTTGCGAAAGGCAAAAGTCTACATGCCCAGGTTGCTTGTCAGCGCTACTGCGCTGCCTGCAGGCCTGTACCTTTGCAAAAGTCCACATGCCCAGGTTGCATCTCAGACTCAGGAAGGTGGGACACCTGTGCAGCCTGTCACAGCCTTTGACTGGATCGCACGCAGTGGACCACATCATTTCTGACGCTAGCCCAGGTGCACCGACGTGCTGAGCCACCGTGCTTAGGTCTTTGCGAGCAAGACTAACATCGATATGGATCAGAGACGTTTCTGCGTCTGAATCGAGAGAGGTGAGAACAAAGGCTATCAGTTCAGCGTCCCTTTGCTTCTTGCGTGGACAAGGTGCTACACAGTGACACAGCGCATTATGCGATAGTTGTCCATATTGTTCGTGCTTGGTCAGCGTGTGGCTCTCAGCCAAACAGCATTCCGCATCTCTGTGTACTCACCTACTCTCGGCAGCCGCACGGCACAAACTATGATGATGTTTCTGCACACACAGTGGTGATGTGGATACATTTCTATGATACTGCAACAGCCAAGGTAATCCCTCCATGGAGGTTACCTTGAGCAGGGCAGTTTTGAACCGCTCTGATCTCAGTTTCGCTTCCATGCAGTAATGAGCAAACCAATAGCATGGTCTTCCGGCGTGATCATTAGAAAGATGTTGCTCGAGGCATGTATGCCGTGGTCAGCGAGCGTGAAAGGTCACGTCGAGTCTTGGCAAGCGCAAGCGTTCAATTCTGTGGGCAGTCAATACAGTGATACGTCGTGCGAACACGGCGGTTTATGTTGACTGAGGCACCTTCGCAGAAGTCGTCGGTGCAGAGCTTCCGGTTCCAACCATTCCAACACCCTCTCCGGTTTGCCGCGCGGCTTCTATCCGGTCGGTGATCAAAAGTAAACATGGAGCCTGAGCCTATACGACCTGCGCAAGGCTCGCTGCCATTGAGTTACACGTCGTCGACGACAGTTCACAAGAAGAGTGTCCTGGTGTCGCGATTGTACTTGCAGGCTAGCGTGTGATCCGTCTTTCTGGAATGTGTCTTGCATCCAGCTGAAAGGAATAAGTTAACAAAAACTGCTCCTCTTGATAACCTAGATTCTTGTTGCACAAACAATGATTCGGCAATGATGGTTCTGATGGTTCTGGTCTGCTTAGGCATCTCCATCCCCACGAACACGCCGGGCTATCCTCTGCGCACTCCTACCAACACAGGGTGCTGGGAGGTCTTGGAGCCTCTTGCAGAGATAGGGCGCTCGCTTGTGACGCACCTCCCCGGCGGCAAGCGCACTCCNNCCCACTTTGGCGGGCGATCCAAGAAGGGCACCGTAGTGGATGAGCCGTACACACTGCAGAACCCCTGCAGAATCAAGACCCTGGGCAAGGGCCCGGCGCACTTGGGCTTCTACCAGCGCCCAGAGCATCTCACCAGATGCCACCGGCGCGAGGGCAGGGGCCCTCGTCGCAAACAGCCAGTGAAGCCTGATGCTTAGTCGAGCTGGTCATCTACGAAGAAACATTCGTCCTTGAATACGGTGGCATTGGATTACATGACGCAGGTCCGACATGAACGCTGACTTCATGCAGTGGGAAGCTCAGCCGCCGCGTGAAGCTCCATGATATATGTCCGATGGATTTCACAGATCGCCATACTACGGAAATGTGCGAGGTGTGATGAAAACAACATCAATGAGGACGCTGTGCTAGTCGAGCTAGATACTCAGGAGCATGCAAGCTGCGTATAGAAGCTTGGCAGAGGGTGTAATGCCGGTAGACACCGTTCATAGCAAGCGCGGTCTTGTGTGCGAAGCCGCTAAGCCTGCTTGAGACAGGAACACTGTACGCAAACAGATACTGAGGCAGCAGGATACGAGCCCAAGGAACCCGAACCCCGACGCGTGCGTGCCAATGCCTGAGTCGGGAAGCAGTTGTGGCAGCACCAATAAGTCAATAAGTCGACATCGTTGATTACTTTGCAGAGTTGTACTCAGGGGTGGCAACATTGCGGGGTTGTTGAGCGACCCGCGTTTGGCTTGGCCGTTGCCGCCAGACTGGAGCGGGACGCCAAGAACCATTGATGCGATCTTTTCCGCAACCATCTTGATTCAAAAGTGCTTCCACCAATAACAACGTAGCTTGTGACAGGCTCGGAGCTATCCGACGCCATCCGCAAGCGCGCCGGCTTGCAGAGCGACGTCCACGGTGTTTTCGAGGACGACGGAGAGGAGCAGTGCTGACCTTTACCTGCAACATAGAGTTAGGCGCTTCCCCTCGAATAGCATATTTCTGGAGACAGTCTACTGCATCGTATGAAGCCTAGGGACGAGCTGGCGACACCTCGGCAAGAAGCTGGGCTCGCCGCCGACTTGGTGTTGCTCGACTCCGTTAGTTGTAAGTGCATAGCCGCTTCTCTGAGGAACACAACAAGCTAACCTGTAGCTTGAGCGTGACATCCCTGATGCAGCAGGCGATGACCTCGTCCAGAGCATCACCCGGCGGCTTCGCACCACAGCTAACCAGAAGGCGGAGTTGGATGATCTGCTGACGCAGACCAAGCCGCCGAGGTGGGTGCGACCGAGTAAACGGTTGCAGGGATACAGTTTTTGTCGTGGTGACCTGGCTTGGCCTTCCATTGCTGTTGAGCAACAACACTTCCAGAAACTCAGCAGGTACACTTTGTCTGTCACAAAAATACATTCCGCTGTTCAGGAAGCGCGGGCCAATTACTATTGCTTTGGCAAGGCGACCGCCCATGAGCAGGCAAGAGAACCAAGGGTGACAGTGCGTAGTATCTACAATCATGTTCGAACACGGCTCTTGACTTTCCTGACCGACCAATCGAAAGGCACCAGATGCTTATGTGGGAGTTGCTGCTACAGGAGGC